ATATTTCCCCTTCTTTAACATTGCTTTATTATTGCAAGCTTGGAGCTTCTTTCTTCTCTTAGTTCATAAAATAGTACTAAGTTACTTTTACCTGTAGTCTCTCACTATGCTGAGTTACACTAGGAACTTATTCCTTTGATCTAACTCTCATTTAGTACCCATTATCCAAATTCCCTCTATCTCCCACAACCACTCCCAGCCTCTAGTAATCACTACTCTATTCAGTCTGAGGCTTTTTTACCTCCCAAATATGAGAAAGTACATGCAATGTTTGTCTTTCTGTGTTTTGCTTATTTCACTTAACATTATATCCTCCAGTTCCATTCATTTTGCTGCAAATGACAGGATTTCAGTATTTTTATGGCCTAGTAATATTCTATTGTGTATATACATACCACTTTTCTGTATTCATTCATCTGATGATCAATACTTTAGCTGATTGTATATCCTGGCTGTTGTGAATAGTGCTGCAATAGACATGAAGGAGCAGGTATCTCTTTCATTCAATGATTTCATGTATTTTGGGTATATACCCAATAATGGGATTGTTAGATTATTTGGTAGTTCTATTTCTAGATTTTTTAAGAAATCTACATACTGTTTTCCATGGTGGCTATACCAATTTCCATTCCCATTGACAGTGTGTAAGAGTTTCCCTTTGGGTCTGGCATTGTGGTACAGCAGGTTAAGTCGCCACCTGTGGTGCCAGCATCCCATTTTAGAGCACTAGTTCTATTCCTGGCTGCTCCACTTCCAATCTATCTCCCTGCTAATGTACCTGGGAAAGCAATAGAGGATGACCCAAGTATGTGGGCCCCTACTACTTGCATGGGAGACTGGATGGAGTTTCAGGCTCCCAGCTTCAACTTGGTCCAGCCCCAGCTGTAATGGCCATTTGGAGAGTAAACCTGAAGATGTAAGATCTCTTTCTCTGTATTTCCCTCTGTCTCTCTGTTGCTCTTTCAAATAAATAAATAAATTGTTTTTAAAAAAGAATTCCCCTTTCTGCACATTCTTTCCAGCATTTGTTACTCTCTCTCTTTTGGATAATAGCCATGTGATAGAGGTAATGTGATATAGTTTTGATTTGTATTTCCCTGGTGGCTAGTGATGTTGAGCATTTTTTCATACATTTTTTGGTCATTTGTATTTCTTCTTTTGAGATTTTTCTATTTAAGTTCTTTGCCCATTTCTTAACCAGATTGGTTGTTTTTGTTGAGCTTTTTGTTTCTGATCTATTCTAGATATTAATCTTTGGTCAGATTATATATGTTGCAAATTTTTTCTCTCATTCTATTGGATGTTTCTTCAGCCTGTTGATTGTTTCCTTTGCTTGGCTGAAGCTTCTGAGTTTGATAAAATCCCATTTGTCTAGTTGCACTTTTGTTGCCTACACTTTTGGGATCTTCTCCAAAAAATCATTACCTACATCAATGTCTTGGAGTGTTTCCCCTGTGTTTTCTTCCAGAAATTTCATAGTTTCATGTACTATCTTTAGATCTTTGGTCCATCTTGAGTTGATTATTCTACATGGTGAAAAGTATGGATCTAATTTCATTCATCTATATATGTATACCCAGTTTTGCCATCACTATTAATGAAAAAGACTATCCTTTCTCCAATGTATGTCCTTGGCACCTTTGACAAAGATCAGTTGGCTATATGTGCATGGATTAATTTTTGAATTCTCTATTCTGTTCCATTGATCTATGTGTGTTTTGTGCCAATACCCTGTTATTTTTTAGCTGTGTAATATGTTTTCAAATTGGGTATTATAATTCCTCCAGCTTTGATTCTTGGTAAGCACAGAAGTATATCCAATGCCAACAGTGTCTATGAGCACCACAGTTGTCTAGTCTGCAGCAGTTCATGGAGGTAGTACTATGGCTTAGAAGTGGGCATGAGCTTCCAAAAATGTGTATCTTCATGCTTTAGGGAGTTGGTTATCAATACTTTGGAGTTTGTGATAACAGTAGCCACATTACCGATGCTATGAGACAGAGTGGGTAATCCCTTGTCCCACTAGGAAAGCCTTGTGGCACCAATAACTGTTGCCCTTGAACTGTGTAATGTGTATGGGTTCTTTCTTAGGTCCTGCTGCATGGGCATGGGTGATACTGGAGCTTAAAACATCAAAAGCCCCAGTCCCAAAACTGGACAATGTGAAAGGGACCTTGCTCAGGTCCCATGGAATGAATACAGATTATACTGTGGATTGTGCACTGGCAGATGTAGGCCTAGAGCAGTAGAATGCAAGTAGTTTTTCCACTATAGAAGGTCCTGCCAGGTGGATTCAGGTGACTCTGAGAATGTGGTACTAATAGTTACAGTTCTGGAGCTGCAGGATAGGAAGGATACCTTGCCCAGGTCCCACAGGAAAAGTATATATTATGCTGGGGATTGTCCCCTGACAGCTGTGAATTTGAAGCAGTAGAATGGAGATGGGCCTTCTCCAGTTCCCACAGGGCAAGTGCAGGTGTTCCTGGCATTTGTAGAGCCCACAATCACAGTGCCAGAGTTGCAGGATGCAGTGGAAACTTTACCCCAGTCCCACATTTTACACACAGGTTATGCTAGAGATTGCACCCTGGTGGGCACAAGTGTATAACAGTAGAATGCAGGTATTGCCCCCCCCCCCAGGTCCCACAAGATACACTCAAATAGCTTGTGAAATATAACTCCAATAATCCCTGTCCTAGAGCTGCTAGATTCAGCAGACCACATGAGGTGAACACAGTTTATGCTGGGGATTAAGCACTAGTGGGTACAAACCTGGATTGACAGGATGCAGATAGGGCTCTTCCCTAGCCCCACAGGGTGAGCCCTGGTATCCCTGGGACATTTAGAATCAGCAGTCATAGTCCTAGTGCTGCTGGACTTGGAAGGTAACTTACCCAGATCCCACAGGATGGTGGCAGGTTATACTGTAGACCATGCACTAGCAAGCGCAAGCTTGGAGCAGAGGAATATACAGAATCAGTGGTCACAGTTCCAGAGCTTAAGGATGTGGTGGAGGTCCTTACCCAAGTCTTACGGAAGTGCATGTTATAGCTTAAGGATGTGGTAGGGTCCTTCTCATGGAAATGCATGTTATGCCGGGGGTTGTGGATTGGCAGCAACCAGCCTGAAGCAAAGAAATGAAGATAGGCCCCTTCAGGTCCCACCAGTGAGTGTGAGCGTAGCACCAATACCCATAGTCCCATAGCTGCAAGGACACAGAAACCCTGAGAACCCACAGGGCACACAGGGGTGATGCTAGGGCTTGTTTTGTGGTCACCCAACACCCTGTGCTGAGAGCTGCAAAAGGGGCTTTGCTCAGATCTTGTACTCTGGGCTTGTGTATTGGCTACTACTGGTGCCAAGATCCAAGAAGCAAAGAGGGACCATCCCTAGATCTCAGAGTAATCATGGCTCTAGGGCTTGTGGCCAGCAGTTCTGCAGCTTCAGGATGCAGAGAGACCTGCTCTTTGTCCTGTGAAGTGCCCCGGCTCTGCCTCTGGGGGTTTCTGGTAGTGACTGGGCTGCTTACTGACCCTAATATAGAACAGCGTTTATGAGCAGCTGTACTGCAGATGCTCAGGTTTGGGAGCTTTGGATGGGAGGCAGTGTGGGTTCCTTTTTAGGAACAAAGCAGTTGCTTGGATGCCAGTCAGCTTTGTAAAGTCAATTTAAAGCCTGTGAGAACTGTGGAATTCTCCTGTAGTTGGACCTGCCCGTCTGTAGCGACTGTGGGGGATTGTAGGCCTCTCCAGTTACTATTTCCCAGCAAGGAGCTGTGGTGTGCTTTATTCTTCTCTCTCTGCCTCTCTGCTGGGTTTCTGAGTCTCTGTGCTGTTTAGAGTTCCCATAACTTCTTTACTAAAACTTCCCCTCAGCCAATCTCTGGGAAACTCAGCCCTTTCTTTATTGTTCTGGTTCTCTATGGTGGAGGCTAGTGTGGGTGTGTCTCTATTCAGCCATCTTGGATCACACTTAAATTTATCTCCAGGTTATCAGCTTTAGTGATTATATTTTTCTGAAATTCTATTTATCTTTTTCTTCAAATCTACATTACATAATTGATAGTGCCTAGCTTCTTCCTGACATTTTATCCTTTTATTTCTTCAAAGATTTCAAACATACTTACTATACATTGTATATCCTTTATCTTGAGTTTTTAGGGTTTTCTACTTGATACTTCTCCTTATTCTCTCTCATGGTAACTTATTTCCTTATGTGTTATGTGAGTTGGAGTTTGGCAAGAATTTATCTCTTGGGAACCTCTACAACAAGAATTGAGAGCTTCTATTTGCTTCTCCAAGGCATTCCTTGGAGCAGATGGCTTGGGACTACTTTTCATTAAACCCCCAGGATGACATTTTTCAAACCACATGGGTAATGTAATTCTGAATCACTAACCCACCTAAGTGAAGGTTTGTGGTGATAAATTCTCATAGGAGGCTTTTCCTAATTTCTATCAAGAGCCACAGAGAGACAGAAACATTCTCTTGTTCCTTCCCTTTGCCTGTGGAGGGACATTTTCTAGTTTGCACTTGTATTGAGGGTGTAATCTGAGAGTCTGTCCCAACACCCTACTTTTTTTGCACATCTAAGGCATTGTTTCCTGTATCTACAAGGTTTTTAAAACTCAAACCTCTTTGTTACTGATTGGGAAATATCCTCCAGTGAAGCTGGGCTTCTATGCCCACTTATCACTCTTTTTTTTTTTTCAAGGATTTCTTTGTTTTGGAATCCTATATTCAATACAGCGAAGAAGACATTTTGCAGTAGGGAGTTGTTTTGTTGTTATTGTTACTTATTCTACAGTACTGATTGCTCTCCAGTTAACAGATGAGAGACTGAAATCCTAGGAAAGGAAGAGAGTTGCCTGAGTTCATACTACTGGGTCAACAATGGAACTGACCCCAGAACCAAGTTTCCCTGATTCCTAGTCTATTTCTTCCTCTCGGAGAAAATGTCCCTTATCTCCCTTTTTTTCCAAATCTTTCCCTCACCTTTAGTCCTATGAGGATCTGGTTCAGCGTCTGGAGCCAGTTATAATGGAGCTAGAGCGGCAAGAGAACGTACTGGTAATCTGCCACCAGGCTGTCATGCGGTGCCTCTTGGCCTACTTCTTGGATAAAAGTTCAGGTACCACATTCTCTCTGTTCCTAGTGTGGGGATCTGGATATGATTTGAGACTCTAACATTGGCAATTGGGGGTTTTATATATCAGTGGTCAAACTTTAGTAAATAAACTTTATCTAGAACAAATATGCCTGGGTTCAGATTCTTCCTCTAACACATACTATCTTTGGTAAATTACCTTAACTACTCTGGCCTCAATTTCTGCATCTGTAACATGGGGAAAATAATGATGAAGTTTAGTTAAATAATAAATACAAAGAGCTTAGAACAAATAGTTCATGACACAGTTATGAGCTATTTATATAAGTGTTAGCTGCTATTGTTAGTATTAGTATTATTCTGAGCTCGTGTTTTGAATGTTTTCAAAGCTAGCATTAAGTCTGCTTCCACCTGAAAAAGCTGAGCTAGTATTTCTCTGAAACATGCTGTGTCAGGAAATGGCAGTGCCTTTTGTGGCTTCATGATCTTGGTCATACATTTCTGTCTTTACTGTAGGGATGGTTTCCACAAGATAGTGATATTTTCATTTTTTTCCAAATAGTAATTTATTTTTTTAAAGATCTAGACATTGTATTTACAGCATCTCTACACCCTGACTACATACACTGTTCTGAAAACAAGGACAGGTGGTCTGGCAAGAGACTGTTGTATCGCCTATAAGTGTGAGAGTACATTTCTCATGTGGGTATGAAGTATTAGCATTTCCATGACATTTTGAAGATGTTTGAAGACCCTGCAAAATTATATTTGCTGCCTTCAATGCCCTGCAGTCTTATATCTTTTCTCCTACGTTAGTTTCAAAATAAAGAGTATTTGACATATGGAGTCTTCCAGAATCAGAACCCAGGGAACTTGAGAACTTGTCATTGGACAAGCCATTTCCTCTGCCTGGGCCTCGGTTTCCTCATTGGAAATGGGTGGATTGGAATGTGTGATGGGGTTCCTTGTGCTGATAGATTTCTGATCTGTTCATATCTGTATTGTTTTCAGGGCAATTTTTTGAGACCCTGAGGCAGGCATTATAAACTCCCTTGTCCATATGAGGAGATGGAGACTCAGAGAGGTGAAGTGACTTGCCCAAGATCATGGAGTTCAGAGTGTCAGGGATAGGAGTTTATCCCAGGTGCATGCCAGAGGCCCTCTCCTGTCAGATATTCATAGACTGAGTAGGGGACACAGGCAACTCCCATTTTTTTCTGCTTCCTACCTGCTTTCCACATAGACCATGCCATCTGGTAGCCAGACAGGGCATGGCTGGGCACATGTTCTTACCCCCCATTACTCAAGCAAGTGATGGAATGAGGCCCAAAGATGTGATGTGACTAGAAATGCAAACCCACAGATCCTCAGAGCTAGGGTACCCTCAGATTACATCTAATCCAATCCTGGCCTGTGAGATGGGGACACTGAGGATTAGGGAGAGAAAGGGACTGGTTCAAGGTCTCCAGCTGAGGCAGTGGTGTGGCTGGGTCACAGACCCCAGGCATGTCGCTTCCCTTCTCTGAGTCTGTTCCTCACTTGGACAAGGGAGACTGTGCGCCAAGAGCCCTCGCCCAGGGTCGAGGACAATGAGGACCAAGTGGGGGAGGAGCAGGATGGAGGCCCAACCTGGTGTCCCAGGAGGCTGGGCTGGGGGGCAGGCTGGAAAGCTCAGGATGATCCTTAGGGGCGGGGAAGCAGCCAGCGGTGCTGTTCAGGGTCAGTGAAGGGAGGTGGGGCCCTGAGCCTGCATCCTGACCAGGGAGCCTCCTGGGGTCTGGTCCCCGTGCAGCCACTTCCTGCTGTGTGACTTCAGGAGGGGGGTCTGCAGTCTCCTGATCCATGGGACGGGCGGCCCAGGGCCCGCCTCCCTCCCCACCCCTGTCTGTGCCCTTCCTCAGAGCCCCTTTGCTCCTGCTTTCCCCTCCCCCACTCCAGCAGCTCTCATCTCTCCCACCTGCAGACTGTAGGGGATAGGCCCCTTGTGCAGTTCAACTTGGGAAGGGGAAGGGGGAGGGGGAGCACTCAACAACCCTGGAGCCTGGGGAGGGAGGGTGTGCCTGCCCCACACCCTGTCTCTGAGGGGTGCTTCCTCTTCATTTCCAGATGAGCTTCCCTATCTCAAGTGCCCTCTGCACACGGTGCTCAAACTCACACCTGTGGCTTATGGTGAGTGTCCCCCGCCCTCATCCCAGAAAAGGCATTTAGAGGCAATAAGCATATCCCTAGAGCCTGTCATTTTCCCAGGAGAGTTCTGGGGGAGTTTACCTGAGTATGTGGTGGATGTCCTGGTACAGGTGGGACTCATGGTCCTAAGTAACAGCAAAGTACTCTGATGGCTTCTAAGTCTGAAGCATAGTTCCAACTTTCTCTGTCTCTGCAAGAGCACTAAGCATAGAACTCCAACCCATTGAAGGAGGGATTCCCAAAGGGGACCAGAGGCAAATTGTATGCTAGGGCCATATTGAAGAAAAAGCTGATAGACCAACCAGAGCAAGTTATCTCCCAATCCCTCTTGACATAAGTGAGAAGTGAAGGGACAGAATCAGATCTGTTATGGGGTGTGAATGGAGCAGAATGGCATACAGAAGCCTGAAGTAAAGTGACTTCCCCGGGGTTGGAGCTAAATGGGCCTTGGACCTTTTCTAGAAGCCCCAAGCCCTAGCGATGCACCTTCCTACTTCAGGTTCCCTCATATTCCCTTGTAACCTTCCACACTTCTGGAGTTCTGGTAACACACCGTCCTTAAATAAACTGCCTGGAACTGATCACCCAAGGCAATGACCCCAGGGCTCTCCCACTTCTTCAGCACCGACATGGCTGGATGATCCACAGAGCTCCATAATATCATAGGTTAGATTGCTGGCTCCTAGTCCGTGTGAGTCGGGGGAAGCCACACAGATCATGTTCTCTCATCTGTATCCCCACCTACAGATGAGCAACTGAAGTTCAAAGAATTCTGAGACAGAGGCAGAGCTGGGAGGGGGACCCCACCCCATTAGTGCCTCTTAGGCCTGGCGTCTGTCCCACATACCACACAGCTCATCTTAACTCCCTTCCCTGCAGGGCAGTCACAATCTGACAGTATGGGGCTGAGGGGTGGGGGATGCCTCAGGGAAGACCTATGCTTACCTTGGGAGCTTACCCACAGATGGGTTGTTCTTTTCTGAGGCTGCAAAGTGGAGTCCATCTACCTGAATGTAGAGGCTGTGAACACACACCGGGAGAAACCTGAGGTAGGTGAGGGATTCCATCCCAAGCTGGCTATGCACACAGCACGTGGTGCAAATCTCCCTTTTCCAAAGAAAGGTCACCCCAGCTCCTCAGAGCCAGAGTGTTTCCCACTATCAGATGGAACAACCAGCATCCAGAAATGCAGCAACCACGGTCCAGACCTGAGACACCGTATCGATGTAGTGCTAGAGCAACCACTGCCAAAATGGCTTAAGACTGAGACTCCCCTCAGGCCTGCCTCAGATGGGAACCTGGCTGTGAAGACAAGGAGGGTAGGGCTGGTGGACTGGGGTGCCAAACTGCTGACTCCTTCCTATTAATTCTGCTTTCTCTCTTCTCAGAATGTGGATGTCACCCGGGAACCTCAGGAAGCCCTGGACACTGTCCCTGCCCACTACTGAGCCCTTTCCAGGAGGCCAAAATGCCTCTGCCCTTTTAACTTCTATCCTTGCTCTTCTCCACCATGAGAAGTCTCTGCCTTGGCCTCACTAAGAGAGCTCTGCTCCCAGTGAAGAAGTCCTCATGAGCTCCAAAATAGGTCTCAATCCTGGCCACACTCATGGAGCTGTCTAGCTCTGGATGGAGCTCTTCTTTTCTTAATTCCTATTCTGTAATCAATAAAGACTTCTCTTATTGCCTACAGAAAGAAAGGAAGCAGTCATGGTTCCCTTGTTTTCAAGAACCTTATCTTGATCTTTATCTAACTCCTTTGCTCAGTGTGTGAGGATGTCCTGAGTAGCACCTGCAAAAATGAGCTCCCTGTGAGTATCTGTGGGCCTGTTCCTTGGTGGAAAGGGTAGCTGAGGAAATGCCACCTTCATCCTGAAGTTTAGAGCATCTGGCACTTGTGGTAAGTTCTCTTTCAACACTTGCTGCCATTCTGAGTGATTTCATGGTCCGTGTGAATGACCCAACCAGTATCTTGGTCTCCCAATCCCCTAATCCCCTTAACTCCAACCCACCATCTCCCACTCAGCCGCCAACTTCATGGACCTTGGTATAACCTCCACGGTCTGACTTTTTGAATACATGCATTATCTGACCACTGCCCATATACTAGGCATGCATGTGGTATCTGAATGAACAATATTTATTCTTATACTGCATCAAGACTATATCCTTCAGTTATTCTATTGTCTCCCAATCCTTCAGTCCTTTCCCTCTAGAGTATTCTTCCATCTCTAACCAACTTGGATCCCATAGTCCATCTCTTCAGCCACCCTACATGCATCTAAAATGGCCCAGGTACCAGAAACCCAGCTGGTAAAGAGAGATTAATACACTCATTGCCTTTATTCTCTGTCCTTCCATCACAACCACCCAGCAAGGCCCAAACCCTGTATAATCCACATCCCTTTTTTGGATCTATTACAGGACTGCTGATTGCTGCTTAAAGCATATTTGTTTTCATCTGCTTTGACAGATACCATTCATTCCTGTTCAAAGACACAGCCACCCTCTATTTTCTGGAACCCTATCCCATCCCACCTTCTTACAGATGGACTAAAATAAATTCCCAACTCTTCCAATATGTATCTTTTGTCCCTGTCTATGGATCTGGCCCCGGCCCCAGTCTATGCAAAATGCTCAATTTTTTTCCTGTACCAAAAAGACTTTCCCTTGTTTCTGTGTCCAATTCCAGTTACCCCCATCCCTCCGTTCTTATGTAAATGATCCAAAATGATCTCTACTTACTGTTCAAAACCCTCTTCCTTTGCATCTGTCCCAGTAGTTCCCCTTCCATATTTTTGCTCTAATCATTATGCACTGGCCTTACATGCTTTCCCCAAGCCTCTCTACCACTGAAGAAATATTTGCCTTCTAGCTGGAGCCCCATGCTTCTTCGAGGGCTATGCTGATCTTTTTAGCTCTTCTGTAAAGCCAAAGAGTTACTCACAACCATGTAAGCACAATTAAACAACAGAATGAACTCCAATTAATTTTGCAAATTTAATGTCACTCTGATACCAAAATATGACAGCACACAGAAAGCAAACAATAAAGCGGGAACAGCAAATAGGTTTTTCATAGTGTGTCACCCTCAGCTGATTGGTAATAGCTGTTTAGATCGCTGTGTGGACAAAGATTCCAAAGCTATCACTTAGCTCCATGGAAAGGACTGCTGCAGTTCATGAGCGGTTTCTGTAAACATGGGGGATAAACCTAAAAACAAAACACCAAACAAACACATTTTTAGCATCACATATACTGTTTACTTATACTTCCTTCACTGCCCGATATTCCCACTCAAAGTTTCTTACAACATCTTGCAGCCCTTATACCCATCCCTGTGGGCCTTAGCCATAGAAATACTGCAATTACCTGAAATCTCACTAGCCATAGGAGAAGCCACAGGCACCAAGGCTGGTGGCTCCACCACCAAAGCCAGCATCAGTGCTTGGTCCACCGCTGAATCCAGGACCAGTGCTTGGTCCGCCGCCGAAGCCAGCACTATTCGGTCCACTGCCGAAACCAGCTCCGGTGCTCAGTCCGCTGAAGCCAGCTCTGGTGCTCGGTCCACCGCCAAAACCACTGGTGCCTTGTCCACTGCAGAAGCCAGCACCAGTGCCTGGTCCACCGCTGAAGCCAATAATAGAACTGGGTCCACTACTGAAGCCGGCACTCGTGCTGGGTTCGCCAGTAAAGCCAGTGCTGGTGTTGGAACCACTGCCAAAGCCAATGATGGTACTCAGTCCTCTGTCGAAGCTGGCATTAGGCCCACCGCCAAAGCCATCGCTGGTGCTGAGGCCACCACTAAAGCCAGCACTGGTGCCAAGTGTGCTGCCAAAACCAGCATTGGTGCCTAGTCCACCACCAAAGCCATCGCTGGTGACCAGTCCGCCACCAAAGCCAGCACTGGTGCCTAGTCCGCCACTGAAGCCAGCGCTGGTGCCTAGTCCGCCACCGAAGCCAGCACTGGTGCCTAGTCCGCCACCGAAGCCAGTGCTGGTGCCTAGTCCGCCACTGAAGCCAGAGCTGGTGCTTAGTCCACCACTGAAGCCAGCAGCAGTGCCTAGGCTGCCATCGAAGCCAGTACTGGTGCCTAAGCCACCACTAAAGCCAGCACTGGTGCCCAGGCTGCCACCAAAGCCAGCACTGGTGCTCAGTCCACCAAATCCAGCACTGGTGCTTAGCCCACTGCCAAAGCTGAAACCAGCACTGTTGCTGGGTCCATCACTAAAACTGGCACTGGTAACACCACTAAAGCAGGCACTGGTGCTAGGAGGGCCACCAAAGCATAGATTGGTATTAGATGCACTGCCAAAGCAGAGGCTGGTGCTGGGAGCACCAAAACAGAGGCTAGTGCTATGAGCACCGCCAAAGCTGATGCTGGTGCTGGGAGCACCGCCAAAGCCAATACTGTTGCTGGGACTACCACCAAAGTCAGTAGTGGTACTAAGTGCCCCACTGAAGCCAGCACTGCTGCTGAATGCACCGCCAAAGCCGGGATTGGTGCTGGGTGTACCACTGAAGCTAGCACTGGTACTGATGGCACTGCCAAAACCGGCACTGGTATTGAGTGCACCACCAAAGCCGGCACTGGTACTTACGGCACCACCAAAACCAGCACTCGTGTTGAGTGCATTGCCAAAGCCAGCACTGCTGAGTGTACCACCAAAGCCGGCACTGGTACTTACGGCACCAACAAAACCAGCACTGTTGTTGAGTGCACTGCCAAAGCCAGCACTGGTGTTGAGTGTGCCACCAAAGCTGGCACTGGTGCTGACAGCACCACCAAAACTGGCACTCGTGTTGAGTGCACCATCAAAGCCAGTAGTGCTGTTCAGTACTCCACCAAAACTGGTATTTGGGTTGAGTGCACTGCCAAAGCCTGCACTGGTGCTGACGGTACCACCAAAACTGGCACTGGCACTTGTGTTGAGTGCACCATCACAGCTGGCACTGCTGTTGAGTGCACCGCCAAAGCTTGCACTGCTGAGTGCACCACCAAAGCTCACGTTGGTGCCAGGAGAGCCACCAAAGCAGACACTCGTGCTTAATGTACCGCCAAAGTCAGCACTGGTGCTGGAACAGCCACCAAAGGAGACACTGGTGCTGAGTGTACCACCAAAACCAGTGCTAGCGGTAGGAGAGCCACCAAAGCAGATACTGGTACTGAGTGTGCCACCAAAGCTGGCACCAGAACTGGGAGAACCACCAAAGCACACACTGGTGCTAAGTGTACCTCCAAAACCAGTGCTGGTGGTAAGTGCCTCACTGAAGACCGTGCTCGTGGCGGGCGCACTGCTGAAGCTGGTGCTGGTGGTAAGTGCACCACCAAAGCCAGCGGTGGTACTGAGTGTGCTTCCAAAGCCAGAGCTGGCTCCACTATTGAAGCTGGCACTGGTACAAGGTGTACCACCAAAACTAATGCTGGCTCCACCACTGAAACTAGTACTAGTGCTGGGTGCACCACCAAAGCTAATGCTGGCTGTGCTGCTAAAACTAGTGCTAGTGCTGGGTGCCCCACCAAAGCTAATACTGGCTCCGCCACTGAAACTAGTGATAGTGCTGGGTGCACCACCAAAGCTAATGCTGGCTGCACTGCTGAAACTGGCACTGGTGCTGGGTGCACCACCAAAGCTAATACTGGCTCCACCAGTGAAAGTATTGCTAGTGCTGGGTATGCTACCAAAGCTAATGCTGGCTGCACTGCTGAAGCTGGCACTGGTGCAGGGTGCACCACCGAAGGTAATGCCAGCTCCGCCACTGAAACCACCACTGGGACTGGGTGCACCACTGAAGCTAACACTAGCACCATCACTGAAACTAGACCTGGTGCTAGCTCCTCTGCTGAAGTCGATGTTGGTGTTGGCATCTGTATTTTCTTGGGATCTGGCCTCAATTTCAAATGAAAATCTGCTCCAGGCCTGAGCATCATCGCCTAACTCTTCCCTGGTTAGGCAGTCAATATCCATGTCATCCCAATTCCAGGGCCCAGCCACAGCTTCCTCTCCAATCCCCATTTGCGCTCTTGCCTCAGCCCTGGCCTCAGCCTCAGCCACAGCCACAGCTGCAGCTTGGACTTCCATCTCTACCGCCTCCCGATACTGAGCAGCCCAGTCCTTGGGATCTTTCTTCTGTACCTGAAATGGGAATGATAATAATTTTAAGAAAAATATCCCTTGTTTGCATAATACCAGTAGCAAAGTAATTTAATGAGTTTTTATTTATTGAGACTCTATCATGGATCAGTCCTGAGATCTAATTTCTGCTATGGTAACTTAGGTGTTATAAGATCTTGGACAGGTTACTTAACCTCAGTGAGCCTGGACAGGTTACTTAACCTCAGTGAGCCTAAGTGTCTTCATCTGTAATGTGGGAAATGATGCACTGAATATTTGTGCCTCCCCAAAATTCTTTTGTTGAATCCTCAACCTCCAGTGTGATTTTAATTGTAGGTAAGTCCTTTATGGAAGTAATGGCAATTAGATGAGGTTAGAAGGGTGGCACCCTGATCCAACAGAAATTAATGTCCTTATAAACAATAAACTAGGGAGCTTGCATTGTCTCTCTAACATGTGAGCACATAGTGAGTGAGAAGGCAGCCATATGCAAGTGAGGAAAACAGCCTTGGTCAGAAACCTACCCTGCCTGATCTTGATCTGGGATTCTCAGCCACCAAAACTGTGAGAAAATAAATTTATTTTTAATCCACCTGGTCTATGGTATTTGTTATGACAGCCTGAGCCGACTAATACAACGTATGAAGAACAAATCAGACTATGTAAACTGTATATAATCTAGCAGCATTCTGGGACACATATGAGGTTTCATATGTTTATATATGAACCATAGGTTGTCCTATACCTGCTTATTCCTGCACATGGTATGTCCCAGCCAATGGCATCCCATTCCCTTAATATGCCAAGCTCAGGCAGCTCTCCTATTACCTTGCATGCAAACTTGAGGACTTTCATCTTGCTAGTCTCATGGTAGGACCGCAAACCCCAGAAGAACTCATACTCAGGTGGTCTGCTGTTGGGGACTCTCTTGTACTCCAGGTACCTTTGAAAAAGGAAATGAAACTTTGCTTCTAAGCAAAACAAAACAAAACCCTAATTTTCTGAACACTAGGCCCCGGAGCAATCTCCTCCAAGCAAATACTGAACAGCCCCTGGAGAAGAACTTCTAAGATCTTCTAACCCAGAATCACCCACACAGTTTATGGTCTTGGCCTCCAATACTTAACCATTTCCCATTGGCCCTGTGCAAATGTCACTTGAGATGCTGCAAGAAAGGCATGTATAGGGCATTGAGTCACAGGAAGGCCCGAGTATTCTGCCACCTGTGAGGAATAAACCCAGATTTCTGTTGGGTGTGTTGTAAACAGAGGAGCCATTCTTCAGGCCTCCTGCTCTGAGCACACCCCATCCCAAGGGTCTTGTGTTTGGTCTGGTCCAGTCCAGGAAATGTCCACTACAGAAATTTTAGATAGGGCAAAATTCTAGGACACAGGATGTCCATCTCTCTCAAGCTAGTATAAGAACAGCACTGACTGAACACTTTCTGAACCAGACCAGTATCCCCAGAACACTTCAGGGCCAGACAAAGGCCTCAAACACCACTTACTTCTGCTTCACAAACTCGTCTGTGATGAGCTTCCTCACTTCCCCAAAAAGCGAATGCCTCACCCTGACAATGGGAAAAATAATCTATGAACACAGATCAGAACTGCCCAGATGAGGGCAGAGGCATTTCCCAGCATGGAACAGGCCTTTCTAGAACATGGGACAGTCTTAGTGAAGCAAAGAAAGTAGTGAGCATATGTCCACTAGAAGCAAGCAGCAGAGGCCAGATGGTTCTTTGTCAGGGATTCCCTGAAGGTCTTATATCTCAGCTTTTAACAGAAGAAAGAGGGGAGGAAGGGAGCAGAGAGTTCAGAATCATTTTCCCATCCACCGAGGTCAGAACTCTGGCCCAGCACCCTCCACCCGCGCCACCAGACCACCAGGTGGTTGCAATCCTGGGACCGTCCTCTCTTGCCAAAGGACAACACGGACAGCAAGCGCTGAGAGAGCCCAATCATACCCAGGGCGCAGCCCCAACTTGCGCAGCACCTCCCAGATGACAGCTGCAGGGGGAGGCAAGAGGAGACAGGGCCGAAAATGAACACACGGAATTCAGACCCCAGCCACCCGTTCAGCTGCGTGCCCCGCCACTCACCCTCACTGGCCTTGTTGCCATTCATAAAAATGACACTCAGAATCACCATAAGAAGACCCAGCTTAGGTGTATCCTTGGTCCTAAGGGAACAGGGCACAGAGAAGATTTATGTCCAGTAACCATTTTCAAAAGACACACCAGCCAGCTGACTAGGCTACACTCTCCCAGGTTCCTCAGATAGGGGAAGATTCTGCCCGATATGCTTCAAACTCTATCTTACTCCAGGCAAGGAATTCAGCTTCGTAAACTTTGGGTCTCCTATTCAGTAAAGTGGGGAAATCACATCATTCCTCCCCAGGTTGCCAAGAAGATGGACGAATGTACCTGTCAGCCTTGCACAACATATGCATGCAGTCAGACTGAGCCCTCTTTTTCTCTTTCAGACCTGTTTCTAGGCAGAACCCCACTGATGACACAACCCATAACTTTGGGAAAGTTCCCTGCTCCCTCCAGGGTTTAGTTTCCCTATCTATGCAGTAAGGAGGCAAGGTCACGGCAGGATCTCTTTCATATGTGTCTATGGTGATTTTGTCATCTGACTTTACATCAAAGCCATGATTCCATTCTTGGTCATTCCTTGAATGGACTGGTTATCGTCTAGAAATGAGTCTAGCCTTCATATTTAGACTAGGTACTCTTTGAAGGCAGGGCCAACATTTTTTCCCCTTATAGCTCACCATACAAGGGAGTAAGCATCACACAGAGAGGTATAAAGAAGCACATCCAACCCTTTCTTGCCTTTCCAGCATCATGATCTACCCACATCAGGAAGCCCTCCCTTAAGAGCCATTCTACCAAGGCCAGACCAAGTATTCAGTAGGAAGACACAAAAAGTAACAGGCTGCTTTCTTGGAAGCTTGTGGAAAGCAAACCTGAAAGTGGAAATGCTCTATCCCAGGCTCCTACATCATCCTTCAGTCAATCACAACCAAGCACCACTACCACAAGTAGAACTCCAACTATGTGCAGGAGCTGCAACAGTGGTTTATTCCACCCTATATTTCCCGACTCTCTTAAGAGGATGTGGGGAGAGAGGATAGGGAAGTGATGGTACCACCACCAAAATTAAGTCTCCCTTTCCATCCCAACCCTGTCCCAACTTACGTTCCCAATATGCCTGCAGACGATTCCTGAGTGCTGATGAGAATATACAAGCTACTCTGCTTATCAATTTCCTTCAGATTGACTCGAAACATCTGCCAAGTAAAAGAACAGCTTGTGAAATCACAAATTTCAGCTTCTTTGGCATCCCACAACTCCCTGTGTACCTAAGGGTTGTGTATGTGAAATCAGTAAAATAATGCAAGTGAAGCACATAGCCAAGTGCTCCAAACACATTAAATACACAACAAGCATGCTAACAATATCAACATCATCTTTGTCACTAACGGGAATATAGGGAGACAAGAAGTAAGCATCTGAAATACAACAGGATGCACCCAGCAGCAGACTGAAGCCAGGAGTAAGTTGGGTAGCTTAGGTCTTAGCTGTGCTTTCAGCACTGTCTGTGTTATCTGTAGCTCATCCATGCCCCCTCCCTAAACCACCGCACAGTCTGCCCATCTGCACAGTCATGGGCCGGATTAGCAGGTATCTGCCTGGTCCCCCCTAGATGGAACACATGCACTTTTGTTTGAGTCAAGGCTTCTGCACTGTGCCCATCCCCCAGGGCTACCCCTTCACCTTCTCCAGAGCGTAGCTTGCCCGTTCAATGATCTCTGGGAAATATTCATCATATTCTTGGATGACATCCTTCAGCATGTCTGCAGGAAGGGAGAGGTGGCCGCAGCTGGGCTGAGCAGGGACCACAGACCAGTAGCCCTTTTTGCCAGCCCTGTGGGGTCAGTGCAGACAAAGTCCTGAACTGCATTAATGGGAAATGGCAGCTATGATGGGAGTGTGAGGAGGGCAAGGGTAGAGATATGAAAGAACAAGAAGACCATAAAAGTAAACAGTTACACCCTCCACAGGCTATAGCGTATCAAGAGAGTGGAGTGAGCTCTGGAAGGAGGGTTGGTGGGACACTACCTGAGCGCTTTATGGGGATCTTCGTCTGGTCTTTAACCAATAGGTATTTCACCAACTTATTTGCCTGGAAGAAGAGGAATAGATGCAGAGATCTCAATGTTTCCAGAAAACTTGGTAAAGCAGAGGACTGATAAGGAAGAAAAAAGAAACGGGGCAGCATTGCATTCCTACCCTTTCTTGCAAGATGGCCACATCTCTGGGAGGTGAAGGTCTCCGGCCCCATGGGATCCGCCTGTAATTACTGCTGCTTCTCTCATCCCCATTTGGATGCTTGGCCTTCATCATCAGAAAGAAGGAAGGTCTCAAATCACCAGGTGCAAGAGATGGCTTTGTCTCCTCACTCTGCCTCCTCCAGAAACCCCCTAGCCCCTCCCCTATAGTGAGAACTGACCCTGCCATTGGCCACCCTGAGTCCTGGGCTTGTCTTTCACTGTCTTTCAGGCAGGAGTGTCATCCCTCCTGCAGGCCAGGAGCAACCCAAGGGCAGGGCCTGGGGCTCCTCCTCTTCCATTAGCCAACACTGGATTCCACTTCACTTCAAGTCACTTCATTTCTCTGGGACTCAGTTTGTTTATCTGTAAAACTAGGACCTTTGATCCCCAGTTAGTAAGAGTTACCTTCAAGACATAAAGATATTACCTGTGTAGATGTACCCAGTACAAAACCTGGTACAAGGTAACTACTATGTAAATACAAGATAAATTATATACAAGTTTCAGTTTTGTGTGTAGATGGGTACCTTTCTCCCCAGCAATCTCTGAACTGCCAGTGAGCAGACACTATTCTTCTCAGCATCTCCCACAGCTTACCTGAACACAGGGACTGATTTAAAGTAAAAAAAAAAAAGGCTCAGTAAACATTTAAATAGAAGAAGTGAACAAACTAGAAGGGTAAGAACAGAAAAACAGCACAAGGTTAAGGATAGTGATATCAGAGATCTTACCTTTCGGTTCCTCTTGCCTCGGGTCCTGGCTGTGGGCTCCAGACTCAACTGAGCCAGGTAGTCATCTGCCAGGGCCTGGACAGCAGCAGCAATCTGAGTCTCAAGGGCACTCATGCTGGTCTGAGAGGTGGCTGTCTTGGCTTGGGTCCCTTGGTCAGCAATCGGAGTCTGGCTTTCAAGTGCCCGACCCTTAGCAGCTGCCTTCCGAGTCCTAGACCCTCTCTTGACTCGAAGGGTGGCTGCTAAGGTTTGGTTTGTGACCATATGAGTAGTAGGCTGGGCCTCAGAGATCTCACCAGCAGAATTTAAGCCCTTATTGGCAGCCTTCTTGCTTTTGGCTTTTTTGGGCCGGATAGCTGCTGCTGAGGTCTCAGTCTGCCTGGTTGCTGCCTCAGTGATATGTGGAGCCTCCACATGCTCAAGTTCAGTATTTGTGGCCTTCGAAGTTGTCTTCTTAGCTTTGGGGGCTTTCTTGGCTCGGATGGAGGTTGCTGTGGCATGGATATTAGTTGTCTCACTGATAATCTGGCCTTGGGTGGTAGCCGTATGGGTGGCAGTTAGAGCCTGTGAGATCTCAGTGGCACTAGTCATGGCCTTGTTGGCAGCCTTTTTAGCTTTGGATGCTTTCTTAGGCTTGGTAGAGGCTATCAAGTTCAGGGAATTGGCTGAGTCACTGGCTATTGGAGCCTGGATACTTTGTGAGACAACTGGTAGACTTAGGGCCTGTATGGGTGACTTGAGCTGTGTGGTCACAGCCTCACTGCCAACTGAGGACTGAGAACTTTGGGCTGCCTTGACAGTAACTCTCTTTGTCTTGTTGGCTTTCTTAGGTTGAACACTGACTAAAGGACCCTGAATATTGGCTGCCTCAGTGGTAGCTGAATCCTGGCTGATCTGGGTGATGATTGGCAGGTTTAAAGCCTGCAAAGTTATTTTGGGTTTGTGGGTGGCAATCTCATTGGCAGATGGGACTGGAGGTGTGACCTTAGTAACAACTTTAATAGGGGTCTTCTTGGTCTTGCTTTTCTTAGGTCGGTTGGCAACTGGTGAGTCCATAGCCAGGGGGTCCTTGGTTGCCGCCAACAAAGTATGCATCAGCAAGACACTGTCCTCTTCTGTGGTCTCAGTCTGTACATCTGGAGGAAAGGGAAGCCCCAGGCTCCCAGGGGGAGGCAGAGGGCCCTACACACTTAGGATTACAATCATCTGGGCCATCTGCCCTCCCTCCTGCCCACTATTTCCCACAAAGGCTTCCCCTTCCTCTGAGCAGTGAAAGACTGAAAGGGGTGGAGGAAGGGGAGGGGGAGGGGACAGAGTCAGGCAGCTTTCCTCTCCTCCCCCTTCACCGTGCAGAGTGGAGAGGTGAGACAGATTAGGCAGGGAATTATGCAAATACAGGGCGGTAGGGGGCTCAAAAGCACTCAGTGAACTCAGGACAAAGCAAATGGTGAGAATGCTGAGACGCCTCACCTGGAATGGGGACATTCTATAACCATACTCATTTCTCCTATCCATCTTTCCGGGAGACCGAATAACAGCTGAGCCTGAGTTAGGAGAGAAAGAGGGAGAGGGAGATTCATCAGATGTGCTACCTCTCCTAAAGGGTGAGGGAATCTCATCTACCCTTGCACCCCAAACCTTTCAATTCTCGGGTTCTCATACCTAGAAATCCAGACCATCTGTTTCGAAGCCCTACCTCCTTTTGCCTCCAAGATGGCAAGTCCGTTTGAGGATCCCGCCTCTTTACCTTACACACACCCCCTACTGCAAACTGATAGTGCGCATGCGCACCGACGAGAGGCCCCCCCCCCCCCAGCTCGGGCCCACCACTTTCCCAAAGAACCCGTTCGTCAAGGTACTCAGCACGCATGCGCCTTGGGGAACCGGACAGTCTAACCAGCTCCTTCCCACATATGCCGCCGCTCTCAGAGCCGCGGAACATCTCGGCCCTGACCTCTGACCCACTCTTTATAACTGCATCACATCTCGTTCCATCCCTTCCCCCAACACCGGCCCCCTCCCTCCGCTCTGCAGTACCGCTTCGCACCGCCCCTTCCCCAACACCGCCCACCTCTCCTCCGCAGTACAGCCACGCACCGCCTCTTCCCGATACGCCCCCCTCCCTCCGCTCTGCAGTACTACTCCGAACCTCCTCTTCCCTTAATAAGCCCCCTCCCTCTGCTCCGCAGTGCGTCTCTGTACCGCCCCTTCCCCAACACCGCTTCCCCCGCCTTCCACGTCTGCAAGCGCCCGGCCCCGCCCTTTCTGCAACATGGATACCCCACCCCCAAATCCAACGACATTAACCTGTGTATTCCTTGTTCTGGAACCCTACCAAGTGCCGTCTCTTCCCTTTGCAAACCATAATCAGCCGGGTCCTAGCACCTCTTCTCCTTCCTGAGCCTGGCCCTTTTAGCTGCTCCACAAGGATATTGTCCCCTCCTTTCTCTGGGTCCCGATCTTTCTGCAGCGCGAACCAGGTCCTGCTCCCTTTCTCCAGCATGGACGGAGTCCTACCACTTCCTATCTCGCTCCCGAACTGGGACCCCTCCCTTCTTGCTACCGCCTGAACAATTTCTCGATCCTTCCTTTCTGCGGTCCCAACTGGGTCTGCGTCCCTTCTTTCTACACCCGAAACGAGTTCACATCTCTCCTTTCCATGTCCCTAAGTGATTATGCTCCCTCCGCTCTTCCATGCCAGCCAGGTTCAGACACCTCCATAAATAACCACTTCGATGTGGTTAGGTCCCAGATCCCCAGCAGGTTTTCTCTAAACCTTAAGGGCGTATAGAGTTAAGCACGTCGAAGCCGCAGCCTGGAGGCCCCCACAGGGTCTTCACTAACGCCGGCCACCTCAGCTCACCTCGTTCTCCTGAGTCCAGAAGGCGTCCGTTCTCTCCAAGCCTCTCCGTAGGTCTGAGCCTGCCCCCCCCCACCCCCGGCCGGAAGTGGTCCTGCCTCTTTCCGCCTCCAGAGGGGGTCTCTGTCCCTGCCGGTCTGCGCCCCCCCCCCCAACTTTCCATTCTGCTGTACATAGCTCCTTCTCTTCTGTTTACTACCCCCTATTTAGCAATCATTTCCTCCTGTTTTCCATTTGATTTTTCTATGCCCCATTCTATATCCCCGTCAGTATTTGATTCTCCAGGTCCCTCTAGGAGGAATGTATTTATTTGAGTTTCCACACCAATACTTCCTACAGCCCCTTCTTTCTCAGTGCTACTTACATACAGTATTGTTATACTACGTGTCTAAGTCTCTCTCCCAGGACGGGTAGGGGACTAGCTCATATTCACTGCTGTCTCAAATATGACCAAAGTAAGGCATTTACAGGTTGTAAACACCAAAAGGTAAGGTACACTGACATCTTATGTATTCAGAATAAAAACGTAAGAAAGGTTTTTGTTTATTCTATAATGACTATCTTGATTCTTTTTAAAAATCAACTTGTTTGAAAAATATTGGCTCCGTGTTTATCCTTTATTGGTGCACTAAGCAAGTACTGGTCTCTGTCTTGTGATATACTGCACTGCTCCTCAGTGCAGAAAACAACTTGCAGCCTTTATTTATTCGTTCAATCATCCTCCCCCAAAGCAGAGGTAACTTTACTTGTGTCAGATAACATATACTGTAAGAAAACAACCTAAGGGCAAAGTCAGAAGGAAATAAATTATAAAGACCAAAGTGGAAATAAATTAAATAGAGACTGATAAAACAATACAAAAGAACAGTGAAACTGAGAGTTGAGTTTTTAAAAAATAAACTACCAAATCCTTGGCTAGATCAACTAAGAAAAATGAAAGAATACTTAAAATCAGAAATGAAAGAGAAAACATTAATATCAGAGAAACATAAAGGATCATAAGAGACTGCTAAAAATAATTCTAAGCAAAGAAATTGGGAACCTAAAAATTGATAAATTTCTAGACATGTACAATAACCAAGGTTAAATCATGAAGAAATAGAAAGTCTAAAAAATCAATAATGAGGAAGGTGATTGAATCAATAAAGAAGTTCTCCATCAAAGAAAACCCCAGTTAAATGGTAGAGTAGGAAAATTGGGATCATGTTAGTCAGACACCGAATTTCAGTTAGATATGAAGAAACAGGTCTTTTGATTTTTTTTTTGTCCCCACCTGGTAACTGAATGCCAATCTAATCATCAAGTTTTTTTTTCCTTTGAAATTGTACTTAAAGCTGACTGCCACAAATCCCCTTTGGGTTTTCCTCTCTTGGAGACCCCCTCCACACCGCTCTGGCTGGAGGTCCTTGATTCTAATAAATACTTTTAAATCTCAAAAAAAGAGATATGAATAAATACAAATTTTATGGCTGTTTGTATTTCCATGAGTACATATTTACTGGCTTTTATTCTGGCCAGTTCAGACAGCTTTATTTCTTCCTCATAGAATCTTTGTTGAGGATCCCTAGTAGTAACCAACACATTCTTATAGTCTATACTTTTCTAACAGTGTGCTCTGCTGTAATCTTAGTAAGCATAGGTGCTGCATCCCCAAATACAGGAAGTTCAGTTAAAGTAACCTCTCTGTTTTTGTTACAAGGATTGACAGCTGTGAGGGGTCCTGGTAATACCAATCTTGATGCAATTAACTTTCATGGTTATATTATTTGTTTTAGACAAGTAACACTTTTATATATTTATGGTGTATAATATATATAGTAAAATATATGTATATAGAATGTATATATAGTAAAATGACTATAGATACATATATATTGTAGAATGACTAGATAAAGCTACTGTATGCATTACATACCTATCATTTATTTTATGATGAGAGTTCTTAGCATCTACTATCATAGTTATTTTCAAGTATACAACATATTGCTATAAAGTATAGTCACCACAAAGATGATAGACATCTTGTACCCATTCTTCATATACCATGGTCTCATCACAAAGTAAATGATAAGTGCATAAAGTAATGCATGTACAAAGTAGCTTTATTTAGTGATTTTACTATACACACATATACACATGTTCTACACCATAAATACATAAAAGTGTTACTTGTCTAATAAAAAGATAACCATGAAAGTTAATTGCATCAAGATTGGTATGACCAGGACCCCTCACAGCTGTCAATCCTTGTAACAAAAACAGAGAGGTTACTTTAACTGAACTTCCTGTATTTGGGGATGCAGCACCTATGCTTACTAAGATTACAGCAGAGCACACTGTTAGAAAAGTATAGACTATAAGAATGTGTTGGCTATTCCTAGGGATCCTCAACAAAGATTCTATGAGGAAGAAATAAAGCTGTCTGAACCGGCAAGAATGAAAGCCAATAAATATGTAATTATGAAAAAACAAATTGAAATAAAAAGATCTATTATTTTTACCTGTCAAAATGGTAAAAACTAAAAAGCCTTGAAATATAATTTCTTTTAAGAAGATTGATAATGCATAGTGTTGAAGAAAGTATCAGCATCTAGATATACATTCATGGAGCAATACGTTTGTACAACTATATTTCCTAGTACAATAAGATAAATATAATCTACAATCCCAAATCTCACTATTAGATAGCATCCAGGGAAACACATGTCTACGAATCCATTAAAATGAATGGTTTTTACAATATTGTTTGTAGAACAAAATGTAAAAGCTACAAAAAATTAAAAGAAATGGACAATGTGTGTCATATTCATTCAGTGAGACACTATACAACGGTTAAAATATGTGTCAAACTGGATGTTTACCGCCTGAGATGTGATACCATTTATATGAGTTTTGGAAACATGCAAAGCTGTCATACATCATTTATGGATACATACACATATTATAATGGTATAATAATATAGAGAAGGAGGAAAGATGAAATGGGATTTGGAAGGGGGTATACAGGTATCTTTAACACTAAAATATTCCATTTATTTATTTATTTATTTGAAAAGCAGAATTACAGAGAGAGAATTCTTCCAACCACTGGTTCACTTCCAAATGGCCTCAATGGCCCAGGCTGGGCCAGACTGAAGCCAGAAGCTAGGAGCTTCATCTGGGTCTCTCACGTGGGTGCAGAGGCCCAAGGACTTGGGCCATCTTCCGCTGATTTCCCAGGCACATTAGCAGGGAGCTGGATTGGAAGTAGAACAGCCGGGTCTCAAACTGGTGCCCATATGTCATGCCAGCATTGCAGGTAGCAGCTTAACTCATTATGCCACAACATTGGCCCCCAAACCTGTTCGTAAACAAACCTGGAAACAAATCTTATAAAATATTATGATTTCATAGATATGGATAATTTGTTCACATGTATTTTATAATATATACTTTAATGAATCTTAAATATTTCACAATAAAACAATTATATGAAAAAACATAAAAGACGACCTGAGTACACATGGAGACACATATTACATTTATGAATAGGACGATTTAACTATTAAAATACAATATCTCTGAAATTTATACATAGATTTATACCATCCCAGCTAAAACCCCAGAAAAGATTTTCTGACAGCACAATCAGACAAACTAAGACTAAGGTAATGTAGAAGGATAATGAAACATAGCTAAGATAATTTTGTAAAAGAAAACTGATGGACAGTCCCTACCAGATATAAAAATAGGACAAATATACAAATACATATGGCTTTTCTTAAAGTATACTAAAGCATAGTAGCAAACCAATAATATAGTGAAAACAGAATAGATAATCCAGGAACAATTTCATGTTATATTGATATTAAACATGGTAGAGATAAATCATTAAAAGACTCATAGAATATGTGGGAAAGAGTGCTGGGAATATTGATATATATATTTGTATAATATATATTTTGCATATATATGTTTTATATATATAAAATATTTTAGCTCATCTCTCATGTATAAATTGTTTAACTTTGAACACTATGTGAGAAAATAAAAAGTAGAATGCTAGTAGAGAGTATTATTAATCAAGCAGGACTAAGCTCAAACTCATGCAGATGTTGACACCCCAAAGTTTTATGTTAACAGTTAATGAAATCGGCCGGTGCCGTGGCTCAATAGGCTAATCCTCCGCCTAGCAGCGCCGGCACACCGGGTTCTAGTCCCGGTCGGGGCACTGGATTCTGTCCCGGTTGCCCCTCTTCCAGGCCAGCTCTCTGCTGTGGCCAGGGAGTGCAGTGGAGGATGGCCCAAGTGCTTGGGCCCTGCACCCGGCATGGAAGACCAGGATAAGCACCTGGCTCCTGCCTTTGGATCAGCGTGGTGCGCCGGCCGCAGCGGCCATTAGAGGGTGAACCAACGGCAAAAGGAATACCTTTCTCTCTGTCTCTCTCTCTCTCATTGTCCACTCTGCCTGTAAAAAAATAAATAAATAAAAAATAAATAAAAATAAAATAAAAAATAAAAATAAAAAAACAGTTAATGAATTAATGCTAATGGTTGCTGGATAAGAGTGGAGAGTTGATGTAATTATGATGACTGAGTGATAGGTCTGGTAGGAAGTCTTCAGGTCAGCGGAGGTTTGCCTTGACAAGCCAGTTCTCATGAGAGAGTTGGTTGTACAGAGTGCCTCCTGTCTCTTCGTCCCTTTGCCTCTCTTCTTGCTAGCTCACCATGTGATCATCCCTCCATACCTGCTCCACCATGGCTTTCCATAACCAGATGATCCTGAACTATGAACC